CTATTACCGAATTTTTCATTGGGGCCATTTTTACCTACCTGTCATATGGGGCCATTTTTACCGGGGCCATTTTTTCCAGGGCCATTTTTTCCGGGGCCATTTTTTTCGGGGCCATTTTTTCCGGGGCCATTCTTACCTACATTCGTAAATAATACCATGATAATACCTTGCATTTTTAACTAATATCCCAACTTCATGTGTTATACACCAAGCTTAGGAAGGTCATTTGCCTTAATTCAAGTGACCACACATCATTTGGGAATGTTGATGAGTTTCCCAGGTACTAGACAAGGACAGGCAATTACTAATCCTTATTGGTCAGATGGTATGAAAGGTGATGCTATATCACATACATTTGTACTTTTACAGACACTCCTCAGTTTGTCCTCCCTGAGTACACATTACTTTCGCTTCCTATCAATTTGTATATATCATCAACTTGTTTCTCAAGTGTTTTTGTAAATACGCTTTTCACTTGGAATGAATTGTATAGTTCTACATATAAATTAGTGTGGTGTATTTTTATCATCTCATCGTACACTTACACTAAATTGGTGACCTCCGACGTTTCAGTGCACACTCTTTGCATCAAGTTAATAATGGAAGGACGAAAGCAACAAGTTCAGCAGCAACAAGTTCAACAGCAACAACCTGTCGTATCTGCTTCAGATGCTGCACCGCTTGCAATATCATCAGTTTCTCTGAAACTTCCACCCTACTGGCCCAATGATCCAACATTATGGTTCACACAGGTTGAGGCACAGTTTACAACGGGGTGGACGCTACGAAGTACACGTATTTGGTGGGCTCCCTGCAACCGGAGATAGCCCAAGAAGTGCGCGATCTCCTACTTCACCCGTCACAGGACAATAGGTACGTACAATTAAAGGAGGCATTAATAAAACGGACGTTGCTGGCCATCCTGTAAGTCGCCTTTTCTTTATCACCAACAAGTTTTCTAACCAACGCTTCCTCATCGACACTGGGGCGGAAGTTAGCGTTGTTCCACCAACTCGACATGAACGTAAAAACAGGAGACATGATTATAACTTAAACGCGGCTAACAATTCATCGATTGCAACATACGGACACCGTTCAATTACTCTTGATCTGGGATTACGTCGCAAGTCTTCATGGATTTTTGTGATTGCGGATGTGTCGCACTCCATTATAGGCGCCGATTTTCTACGACATTTTGGACTACTTGTCGACATGACTCACCATCGACTAGTGGACACAACAACCAATTTAAGTATTCAGGGTATACTTTCGAAATGCCCACCACTCAACCTTATGTTCAACACAGTCGTGGGTAAGTCCAACTTTGATAACATTCTTTCAGAGTTTCCTTCAATAACACGCCCATGTTATCGGGAGGCGTCTCTGAAACATGATGTAACACACCACGTTACAACCAACGGCCCTCCAATATCTGCACGTCCCCGTCACCTTGCGCCCAACCGTTGCAAGATCGCACAACATGAATTTGAACATATGATGCAGCTTGTTATAATCCGCCCCTCTGACAGTAACTGGTCGTCACCCCTGCACATGGTTGCAAAGAAAACCCCTGGAGATTGGCGTCCTTGTGGTGATTATCGTACACTCAACAATGTCACTCTTCCTGATCGGTATCCTATACCTTACATGCAAGATTTTACATCCACATTACATGGTGCAACCATTTTCTCTAAAATTGATCTCGTCAGGGCATATCACCAAATCCCTGTCGAGCCCAGCGATGTACCAAAAACCGCTATAGCTACCCCATTTGGTTTGTTTGAGTTCGTTCGCATGCCTTTTGGATTACGCAACGCCGCACAAACTTTTCAAAGATTTATCGATCAAGTGACACGCGGACTTGAATTTTGTTATGCATATATAGACGATTTGCTTGTTGCAAGCTCTAATGCCCAGGAACACGAAAATCATTTGCGACAATTGTTTACTCGCCTCAATGAGTATGCTGTTGTTCTTAATCCAGCAAAATGCCAATTTGGAGTTTCGTCATTGGAGTTCTTAGGACACCATGTGGATGCCAAAGGTATCCGACCACTTCAAACAAAAGTTGACGCGATACAACAATTTCCACAACCAAAGACATTACGCAAACTCCGCGAATTTTTTGGACTTGTTAATTTTTACCGTCGATTTATACCTCAATGCGCTGAGATCTTACAACCTGTTACAGCATTACTTGTAGCAACAGGTAAGAAACAAGATCTCATTTGGACTGACGCAGCATTGACTGGATATACACATCTAGATGTGTATAAGAGACAGGCTTGCAATATCATCAGTTTCTCTGAAACTTCCACCCTACTGGCCCAATGATCCAACATTATGGTTCACACAGGTTGAGGCACAGTTTACAACCAGGCATATCACGGTGGACGCTACGAAGGAAGGTCATTTACCTTAAGGTCATTTGCCTTAATTCAAGTGACCACACATCATTTGGGAATGTTGATGAGTTTCCCAGGTACTAGACAAGGACAGGCAATTACTAATCCTTATTGGTCAGATGGTATGAATGGTGATGCTATATCACATACATTTGTACTTTTACAGACACTCCTCAGTTTGTCCTCCCTGAGTACACATTACTTTCGCTTTCTATCAATTTGTATATATCATCAACTTGTTTCTCAGGTGTTTTTGTAAATACGCTTTTCACTTGGAGTAAATTGTACAGTTCTACATATAAATTAGTGTGGTGTATTTTTATCATCTCATCGTACACTTACACTAAAATACTAATTATTTAGCAAATTTGTCTAGATTTGTTTATTGTCATCACCGTTTGCCCTTAATTAACTTTTTGTTAAAATTAAAACTATATTTTCCAGAATTAATATTACGTGACGTCAAAAATGGATGAAAAATATAATCTAATTCACTCAAGAACAGTTTCTTATATCGACTCACAAAATTCGAACATTGACCGGGGATGGAATGTAATTTTCAATTCATGTACACATTTTGTATTCGTATGGTTTAAACATTTTGTTTAGGGTTGGAGATAGCTCAATATTCGGCTCACTTATCTCGTGTCTTCAAATGTAATTTTCTTACAGTAATAGTTTTGTAATTGAAAGATGAAATATACAGTATGAAATAAAATTATTAATGCGAAAATAAACCTTTCAGGCTTTAACATCAGTGACAAACTTGGTGCGCGGTCAGGAATTGTAGAATATGAACCTAACATTCCAAATAGTAGGAGGCCTAATACAATATTTCTACACTGATTCCATTATGGTATTCCTTCTTTCTTTCGTAACTTAATTATAATAGTACAGATCTATGCACTGATAACGAAAAAAAAAATAGAATTATAAAAAAATCCCGAGTTGACCATAACAATAGTATGTGGAGCAAAGTAGCCGAACAGATAGCGCACACAATGCTTGAGATAGTTGTGTCCCCCTACGCGCTTGTAAGCAGTGCATCGGGAAAGGACAAAATATTTTCAACAGTCATTTTGAAAGCATGTTGAGTATACACCTCAAGATAAGGTTATATTAACTTTTGACTCGGTTTCATTTATGCCGTGCCATTGTCAAACAATGAAGTACTGTACAATAATAACCAATAAGCTTTTGCTACATAGGCCTATTGGTTAACTTATTTCCGTGTAATTTCGATTGATATTTCGCATTAGAGAAGCAAAAAAGGAGAAAATTACAAAAGTGCTTAGTGATAGGCTGGAAAACCCATGTCTGGTGTTATGTATCACCGGATTTTTTTTCCAGTGGGGCCAGCCTAGGAACCAGGGGAAGTATTGTACTAATCTTAGTAATAATCAACTATGAACTTGGTCAGACTGATAAGAATAAGACATAAATATATTTTTAATTAAAAAATTGTAGTAGTACAGTATAGTACAGAATAAAGATAAAACACATGAAACATGTAGAATGCAAAGCAGGAATTCGATATTTTTTTCTTGTGTTCCACAATCTTTAAAATATACCAATGATATATTCTTGCATTCATAGAACTTATAATGTAAATATAAAATATTTCTTAGATGTCTAATAAAGTCATCGTTGAGTAAGTTGGCATTAGCTTTAATTTAATTAATGATTGTTATAATTTTCTCACATTTGCTGTCTATTAAATTTAAGTTGTTAATATCATCATGGAGGAATTAATTGATTCCTCCATGGGACCATGAAATCATATAGGGGACCTAGCATAAAAAAATTAAATTAAACTTTTAGTATGTCTCTTGGTGTATTTCCAAAAAACAGAGGGCGCTCACATGTTTTAGCACTCTGTGAGCTACAACTAACCCAAAAATTCAAATCGATGTTTTCCCCGGATACGAAATGGTTAGGTTATCCCTGACACCAGGAAGAACCTAAAAAATTAATTCAAAGCAATTTCGCACGTCATCTAAACATTGTTATATGATTGAATTAACAACACGACTGCATTTTACCGTTTTGAAATAACAAAGGTCGCCATAGCTTACCGATGAAACCATGTAACACGATGACTCATGATATACGGTGTTACTGCTGATTTTGCCTGTTAGTTAACTTACTTCCGTGTAGTCGATTTATTTATTGATTTATTTTGCATTCAAAATACAGATTAACATTGATAAAAATGTGAAAAGTTTACAAAAGTACAAACTGACGAGGAACTAGTCGTTGAATACCTACTGAAAATCCCAGATATAGCCTAAAGTTAATCTTAAAATTGAGTAGACTCAAAATCAAGGTGGTTTTAGGTTTTAATTTACTAAAAATAACACTATGGCACAGCCACCTTCTAATCTTCCCCTCAGCTTTTTTTAATCTGGGGAATTTTTTTTTTCTCTCGGCCGGCTATTTTCTCCCGGCTATTTTCGTCCTGTATTTTTCCGATGTATGATTTTTTTCATATAAGTTCATGTATAAGGTAGAACCTGTCTCTTATACACATCTAGATGTGTATGGATTATCATGATCCTTGTTCAAGCAACACGCATTAACTCCAATCAGATACTGCTCCTCTTTACATTTTTATCTCTTTCCCGACTTCAAATTGACATAAGCTGTTTCTTCTTCTCTATATTGTAGATCCTGGTAAGTCTGGTTTTCATTGCCAGCAGTTGGCCTATCTGCCGTGAAGTCCATGTAAGTCTGTGTCGAGATATGAAATGCAATATGTCAATGTAATTTATCGTTTGTAACTTGTTGCTTAATTGAAATGGATTTATACACTTTTATACATTCTTAAAAACACATTCTCACTGGCGCTCATCCATAGCGGTAACCAAGCAACAAGCGAGGACATGATAGAACACAATCAAGTGTGTGAGTGATTTTCGAAAAATATTTAAAATTCGGGAGGTTTATAGATTCTTTTAGAGAGCCTATTCCCAAAGATTTAAATATTGGAGTAGGCCTACATTTTACAAGTATACAAACACTTTTAATAATCCGTAGAATATCAACTGTCAGTCGGCATATTGTATGTTTTTTCATTGATATCAGACTTTGTTTGGCCTAAAAACCGAGGCGGTTGCATACCATTGTTAGGCCTGAATATGGAAAGAATCAGTGTTATCAACGATGTGGATAGGGACCCGGTACCGGAACCATTGTCGTTTGACCAACGTATTATAATTTATGGGTAAGTCTAGGAAGGCGTTGTCAATAGAATATATTATTAACCTCAATCTTTTGAAAAATGAAACACATAATTAGGCCTACAGATACCATGGCTTTTTGCACGTGGCACAAAGTGGATTGGTAACACATATCAGAGGTGAATTAAAATAAAAACTTACATCTTGTTTACTCTTGTCCGTACTTCTCTTGTCTATTTTTGTCTTCTAAATTGTAATTTTAAAAAAATATTAATACAATTTGCAGTCATAACTCTTTCTGTCGTTCTGTTTAGGCTTATTTGTTTTATTTAAATTTTACAATTAATTTATATGTTTATTTATTAATTAAAGTTTAACAATGGAAAGCCTACCAATTAAGCCTACAGAATGGAGATTGAAACCACATGATAAAACACAAGAAAATACAAAAATTTGTTTCATTTTGTGTAATACTTTTCTGGGGCGGAAGGATTTGGCGGTAGGGGGTGAGTGAGTGTCCAGACCACCTCAGCCCTAACATGGTTTGGGCTGAGGCGGGAAAATTTGCAGAATAGGTGCCCGAAAATTACACTCATACCTTAAAACTTTTATCTGTAATTCATAACAATATAATAAAATTATTTTTCTTCATATAATTTAAGGGGTGTGGGGGGTGCGATCGCACCGTCTGCACCCCCTCTGCATCCGCCCCAGCTATCTGTCCTTTTGTAGAATTTCAAGTCCGAGTTCAAACAGGACCATTTTACTGCAACATAAATAGAAGGATGGGGGTGAGGGAATGTTGTTTAATTTGGTAATTGAAAGCAATAATCCTGAATAGAACATGAACAATAATTTTGTTAATATGCTTATCTGAGAAACCTGTTTAATCCTCGTGTAGACGATCAATCCCCCAATTACCCCGAAAGCTCCAACAATGATGCCCACAAAGAACATTCCAATTGTCAGACTCGTGCTACTTGAACAGACTGAACAGACTGCAAGGGGAGAACATACAATTAGTAGGTAATTATACCCCTTCAATCATAATTATTTATTATGATGTAAAAATGTTAAATAAAGAATAATATGCAATAATAACATTAAACATGAGTAGCAAATCAAATAATAATAATAATAATAATAATAATAATAATAATAATAATAATAATAATAATAACAATAACAATAATAATAATAATAATAATAATAATAATAATAATAATATATGCCTAATATTAATAATAGTGATAATAATGATGAAAATACGGTATTAAAAGATGGTAATGATGATGATGATGATGATGATGATGATGATGATGATGATGATGATGATGTTGATGATGATGAAAATAATAAATGATGGTAATGATAATAACAATGATAATGATGGTGGTGGTGGTGATGATGAATCAGGATTCGATGTCAGATTACGAAACGTGCAGGCTTGACACCTTGACCGCTGATGAATTGTGTCCAAAATTTACTACAAACTCGTAAAATGTAATAATGAGCCATTATCATTATTATATAATTTTCGGTACAAATTTAAATCTCTTTGCTTTTCTTCCTTCTTCCTTTTTGGTAAACTCTAATAAACAATAACATAATTGTAACATTACTTACTTATAGCTTTATTTAAATATTATTATATTATAGGTCTATATTAAATAAATATCTAAAAATTTCTTTAAAAAAATGAAGAAGAGAGTGTAAGTCACAGAGTTTTCAGAGTTTTACAGAGTTTTGAATAACATTAATATTTTCCAATCTTCTAATCAATTTTATATAGCCGGAGTTAGTTCACACCTAGGCATAATGCAATTTCAATTCTCTTTCTTTATCTTGCAAAGAAGACAACTGCAGTAGATGTGTATAAGAGACAGCTCTTAGATCTAGGCATGTATACATTGTGTCTGTATTTAATATATTTCATATTGTCAATCGAAGATATGTCCTGGTCTCCGACCGTTTTATGTTCACTTGGATAGGCTTATCTCCATAAGACTTCTATGAATGGATACCTTGTTTGAAGCAAGAAACTAAGTTGTCTTTATCCAGTACCGCTCGTCTATTTTATTCGTGTGGGAAACTTTTAACATATATTACTTCTTCTAAAAGCGAAAAAAAAAAACCAATATCCTTGCAAATCAGAAATTGTCCCTCTCCACCGCCAACTCCAGCATGTCTACTATATTCATGTAGCAGTTGCAATTACTGTTTCGATGCCATACCAACCACAATAGTACAAAAAATAAATAATAATGAAATATTATGTATATTATTTTTATATTATATACAATATATAAGTAGCTGCACTGCATTTTAATAAAATAATAATTATATTTTATATTTTGCCATTTTTTCAATGCTTATGGTTATAGAACCATCCTATGTTTTCTTACCCCTCTTCTGTATATAGGCCTACTATTTTTTCTTTGTTCAATTTTAAAAATTAAGGAAACAATTGTTATTAGTTAGCCCTATTAGTTATTAATCGAGTCGTATCGTTATAAGCCTAGATTCCTGGTTCTTGATAGGCGGCCCACGGGCCAAAAGTAGCCCGCGGAGCCGTTATATCTGGCCCGTGTGAAAAAATCAGCAAACGCCAAAGATTGGTATTGTAAGTTCTAGCTATACTTGGAAAAGCCTGAGAAGAATTGTTAATTGAGTAGACTCAAAATCAAGGTGGTTTTAGGTTTTAACTTACTAAAAATAACACTATGGCACTGCCACCTTCTAATCTTCCCCTCAGCTTTTTTTAATCTGGGGAATTTTTTTTCTCTCGGCCGGCTATTTTCTCCCGGCTATTTTCATCCAGTATTTTTCCGATGTATGATTTTTTTCATATAAGTTCATGTATAAGGTAGAACATATTTGTTTTTATATTTGCTTTTTTTCACTATATATTGTCTTGTTACACCACACAGGTGTGCCGATGATTTAAAAAAAACAAAAAGCGTATCCAATCAATTGATTGATTGACTCTTGATGCATTCGAAATTCTGATGAAGTGTAAAGACACATTTCAGAAACGTCTTTTTAAAAAGTTTGCATCCGGGTTCACTTAAGAGATAGAGGAAAGTTGAATCAGGAAATCATTTTTAAACATACAGTACTTACTCTTTGGCCTATAAATATCACACCTATTTTCTAGTCGTTCATTATGTATACATGTGGTTGCATCAGCTAATACTTCGACAAGGTGCGCGAATATTATCAAAGTTTCAGGGGCAGTAGACACAAAAATCGGCATGGAAAAACCAAAAGTTTGTTACCCTTTTATTCCTGTTAAGCAGCGACAAAAAACAAGACGGATGATTTCATTAATTTGAACTCTCAGTGCCCTTAGGTGATTATCTTCTACGATTATTACGCCTACTTTACACCTAAATTTCTTTACTGTTTCTGGTAGCATAACCATGGAGGAATAAGTTTAGTACTTATTCATCCATAGTTTCACTATTCTGATTGACTGCGTATGATTTGATGTATTTTTTTTGTATTTTATTTACTTTCGCTGCTTACATGTGTATATATGTATATATATTTACAGTTTGCGCGTATGTATGTTTATGTATGTATATGGGTATGTTATTTTATTATTTTTATTTTTATTATTCGGTATTTTTTGAATTCTGATGTTAATGTTTTTTTTTGTTTTTTTTTTTTGGGATTGGAAAGGGAAGGTAGGGGGTAACTTCAATTTCGGGATTGGAAAAGGGAAGGGAGGGGTAATTAAGACTTTGATTTTTACTTTTTGTTAAGCTCATTTGCTTTTACTTTTGATTTGTCATGTTTTGATTTTGTTTGTTTTCTTATATTTTTCTTGGACGCACCGTTTTCTACGTGTGCCACTGTTGTAAAAGTGTAGCTTCCAAATAAAGAATATAATATAATACAATTTCAATTCTCTTTCTTTATCTTGCAAAGAAGACAACTGCAGTGTAAACAGATTATTGATATGTATTCTTTACTAATTATGGTTTCAGAATTTAGATGTTTGCATACCCTAATATATTTTATAAGTCAATCGTGACGTCATCACTGCAACTCCTAGTGTTATTTGCCTGTCCACTAATTTTTCAATTAGTGGACGCTTGGCTTGATTGTTTAGGTTCGTGTGCAAAAAAAAAAACACCTAATTGTTTCGTCACCGCGAAGATATCGTTTACCGTGATGAAAATTGAATTGTAATTGAAAATTGCTTTCGTAAAACAAGGTTAATTAGAACCCGAAGAAAGTTACTTCAAATTCAATATTAATTATGAACAGTTAAGGAAATCTTTTAATCAATGAACCCTAATAAACTAAACAAACTGAACGTTTAATATGAATATTCTAGACCTATTATTAAAGACTCAAGGCACGAAGTTAGCTGGAGGCCTGCAAACACGTAGTCGTATCTTAGCGTAGTTATGAAATCATCGCACAAATTTTACCTGCCTGCACCGACCAATCGGTGACTGTATTCTCTCTCGAATCTTTAAGAAATTTTTATTTCTTTGACGAATGTATCAAAAAGCATTACAAATAAGGGATTCTAACACAATACAATTACAATAGTTATTCATCGTATCCGTACTGTAGCACAATAAAAGGTGTAATTTGAAATTACCAAAACAATTATAACGAGTTGTATTATGACTCAGATATTATCTGTGACCCGTGAGCTCAACTCAAAAAATATTTGGCCCTTTAAACAAATTAATTAAGAACTAGGAGCCTAAATTGTAGGTGCAAATTAGTGATGGGTTTTGTGTCTCAATACATGGGTTAAAGGGTGAAGGCAGGCAGGTTTAAAACAATCATGTTTTTTCGGGGGAGGAGGGTGTGTTTAAATTTGATCTGCTTTGATTTACTTGGTTTTGTTTTTCTTTGGATGCATCGTGTCGGACGAGTACCACTGTTGTAAAAGTGTCGTTTCGAAATAAAGAATAATAAGATAAAAACTTTCTGACAATATTTATGTAACGTAATTAATAGAGGTATAATTTTAGTTGTACATGTGCTGATGATGTGGTGTGCTTGTTAATGACTAGGTAAATCAAAGATCATCCCATTGTTTCTGACACGCTTGGGAATTTGAACAGTCAGTAGTTTAAGATATAGTGGCAAAATAGTTAAATATAACATCATATTATAGCCTTTTGGTTTCTCTATAAATGTGAAAACATAATCAAAACAAATATCGCGACTACAGTAACCGTTTCGTAATGTGGACATCAAAACTGGTACTGGTATTGATACAAATGGTCATCTTTTTCAAGACGTTAGGCAGACATCAGACATTGACTTGAGGTTGACATTAATAGTGGGACACTTCTTTTAAAACCATAAAAATATGGAGCGAACCAACAGCAACATTGTCATTTTTATAGAGAAAAACAGTATAATGTAGTGATTATTATGCACATGCACAGATACATAAGTCCTTTCACATAGATTGGATGCACAACAGCAACACATACTCAATATTGATGTTATTTAAACATGATTTAATATACAAATAACGCCAAAATTTGCATTTTCAATAATTTAGTCCTTTACTATTCTAATAATAATTTACTAATTATTCCCGAATGCTAGGTCTGTTACTAACATCTAACGCATTAATCGACGGGTGCAATGTATTTTAGCATAAAAATTTCTTTACGCCGTCGTCTTCATCTTTTGTTTTTTGCAATATTACAAAAAAAAACCCCAACAGCTGACTAGTAGCTATTGCTATTGTGTACTCACTTTCACAACGATTTGTATTTTTATCAAACTGTCTACAGCCACCACAGTAGCATCCACAAACGCCATTCCCATCACTGTAGTACGTGTCCCCCTTATCTAAGTCACAGCCATCCTTATAGATGCAGTCTATAAACACAAATAAAACTGATGACGTCAGGGGGTTGGGGTCTGACCGGTGCGTATGCACCCTCCCTTCCTTCTAAATTACCGAAGTTCCACATTTTCCAGAGTAGAAAATTCAAAAATTATACCCCACCCTCAATTTGTCAACATTATTTAATCAAAGAAAAGAAATTTATATTGAAATTTAAGTCTGAGAGGGCCATCTAGAGGTGCCATAATCATAAATTTATTTACCTCAGCCCCCACCATGGTGGGTGGGGCTGAGCCTGATATGGACTCTCAATCTGTAAATGTCCTGTCCTTGCCAAATTCTTTGATCCGCCATTGACGGTGGAGATTCAAGAAACCCAATCGCCCCGTCCCCTCAATTTTTCAAAATTTAAAAAAGATGGGAACAAAGAATATATAGGCCTATTCGAGTTGTATGATAGTGCAATTTCTGGCCATTTGAAGGTGCTATAATCATAAATTTTCTTACCTCAGCCCCAATCATCATGGTGGAGCTGAGGTGGTATTTTTTCCATCTGTGAAAGTTCCTCCCTGGCCCCTCTTCAAATTCCTACATCCGCCACTGAAAACTGTATATGAATCTTCAAATCTCAAGTTATCAAAAGTGCCTGAGCTCCGCCACCTCTATCCCAGCAGCAAGCCCCTCACCCCCTTTCAGGCGCCCTCCCCCACCCCAGGCTCTCTTCCCCTGAGCCATTTTAGTCCACTCTCTACAAATACCTTATACAAAACAACGCGACTCTTTTGATTATTTTTTAACTGGTAATGCTGCAACTTTTTATAATATGATGTAATTGGTTGTATACAGTATCGATTATATATAGTTTATTATGCAAATATTAAGTAACTTACTTGTGCAATTCAATCCATGGAAATGATCAGTGCATCTACAATTGTAGCCTTCTTCAACAACTGAACACATTCCACCATTCTCACAGGGCTGGTCAGCACAGGGACTAACTATAGAAAAAAAACATACCACTCACTAGCAATCCACAAAATATATACGTAGAACATTATACAGAGGCCTAGTTGTTAATTTACGAACTTTCATTTTCAAAGATAAACATTTCAAAGTTTACAAAAGACAGTTAATTTCGACCGACATGTGATGCTACTGAAGGCTTATCGTTGATGGGTTAGTGTCTATCTTCAATCCTAAGAGCATCAGTAGATTAGCAGTCTTTCTCTACTTAAGCTCAAGCTTACATATTACAGTTATTTTAATCGACTTTGTTGTTAATCCAATACTATTAGCAACAGTCATTGTTATTGTAAACACTGCGACGTTAACATCTGGTACACTGACTGTGAAAGTTGCTGGGTTAGAATCTCTATCTTCAATTTCAGGAGGATCAGTGGTCCATTGATAAGTGACATCACTAGGATTAGCTGATATTTCAAGTTCAATAACATATTGTTCATAGTGACCAGCAGTGACTTCATCTCCTAATACAAATTCAGGTTTATCTGGAGGACAGGCGCAGAATCATTCATGACAATAACTTACAAGAAATGTCAAACAACTACCATTCAAGTCATAACATTGATATTAATTAATCAATCATCATTAGCAAGGGCATCGATCCGCAATTCAATGTTGGTGGGGGGGGGGACGAATTGCAAAATATGGAAGTCTTGGGCCGTAGGCCATGGCTGGGGCTGCCTAGAATTAACGGTGGGGGTACATGGGATGATGGTCCAGGGGGAGAAGCCGCGGACGCTCTGGCGTCTATAG